ACCTTAAATTCTAAGCCCTTGATTTGTAGAAGGCTGTGGTTCACAGTGAGGACCCTATCTCCATTTTGAGACTTGACATAAGCCTCCATTGAGTTTTTTCTGACCACTAACCAGCAATATGGGAGCTTTGCCCTCTGGCAGAGTATTTGAAAGATTACAACTTAAGGGCCATCCCAGGGAGGGGCGGTCTCGCCTACAAATCCTTAACGGTTTACGGATGAGTGTCACTTGGAAGTAGAAGTACTAGGATTTTGCTTCAGCCATCAAGTAGACAGGTGGCTTCGAGCCCAGGACCAATTGTATAAGTTTTCTAATCTGTAGTAGTGCATATGTCTCAATCATGGTCCTCTCCCTGCCCCCACTTCTGTAGTCCCACTTGCAACATCAATGATTTGCTGTCAATCATGATCTGGTGATTTGTTGTTGCTCATCTATGATTAGCCACATGGTTTTAAATCCTTTGGACACTGGTATGACCTCATGCTGATAATTTCCCTCATCTGGATAATTTGTCTGGTCTTTTCCTGTTTAGGCTTAATAAAGAGGTCCCTGTTAAAACTGAAAGACAGGACTAGGCCCTGTCAAAGGCAGAAAATATTCATTGCCCAGAAAAACATTGTCCATTGAGTTCTGGCTCACAGACTTCATTATATTTCCATATTGATTGCTCCTCGTGGTTGCTGGTTTACTACCTTGAGACATCAGGGCATATGGACCTACAATTGTTAAGCTATATCACAGAGGAACTGTTCACAGGCCCGGGCAGGTCATTTAAATGAGTGGAGACTGACTGCAGAGTCTGCCTCACTTAAAAGGGTTACCTCTCTCCAGATTTGTTTGCCATGTGAGAATGCAAGCCAGCAGCTTTAGCCTTCCCCAGGTTTTTGACAGATTTGAAATCTGGGCCTTTAATGTAAAATATTGTTTAAGACACATCTGTGACCCATAGGCCATCAGTTTGGTTTACTCATGTGATACAGAGCCTTGGAGTCCCCATGGGTGGAGTTTTATCATTAGCATTGTTCTTTTTGTCCTGGTTTAGGGTTTTCTTCTATACTCTTGGAAGAAACATTGCTTCGTAAATGCCCAGGTACTTAAGGAAAATGTATAGCATCGATTCTTATCTCATGGAGAGAAAAACTGGGAAGTTCATGACAGTAAGGGTTTAGTTCTCTGTGGAGCTACTGAAAGTTGTGAACATGGTGACCCGAATATGCCCAGTTCTGGAGCTGTGTGTCCTTATTTGGGACTGTCTGAGGTGGGTCTTTGGAAGCAGAAGTAATTGATCTTAAATACATTCCATAAATTCTCCAAAGTCTTACCAAGACAAATCCTTTCTACCACACAGCACACACTTTGAGAGAGAAGTTGCTACAATGTAGGTGATACACTGGAGAAAAAGGGAATTCCGCCTATAACTTGGCAGCAGAGTCCAAGTGAATGAAGCTTACTCAAGATGCAGATAAAAATGTGTGACTGTTTATCCTTCCAAGAAACACCATTTACAAATCAACCCAGAAAAAGCACTTTTTATTGGTTTCTTGCCTCTGTGGAGCCATCTCCCAAACATTTCTTGTACCACCATGAAAATGACATGAAAAGATTGGCCAGTGTAACTGTGAAAAAGCAATCAGGTAAGGGACACTAGTGACCGAATTTGGATGTGGATCTTTTCACAGAAATGCTCCACACTAATGGATACATCAAAAACCATACTTTATTTTATGTATAGCAATACAATTTACATATTAAATAACACTATAATAGAATGATTTGATATAGTTTCAAACAGAAGAAAAAAGGGAAAATTTCCAGGTTACAAAACCCTGCCCCCCACCTCCCCCGAAAAATTGAAAAACCAAAACCACCTTTTGCCAAATGGGTCAATGCGACAAACGCATTCAGTGACCAAAGGTGTTGGGTTCCCGTTGCACAAATGGTCAATGGAATTTACAAAGAAAACCCAACTTCCACACAATCACTTCCTCAAAGAAATAACACATGTTGGATTCTTCTGGAATGGAAATATGGTTTTTGCTACTTCAATACACAGAAAGCTGAATTCACATATCCACCACGGAAAAAAGAAAAAAAAACTATGACAAAGTTGAAACTAGAAAAAAATTAGCTTTATATGAAAATATAAAATTCTATGATTATATACCATAGATACAAAGTTTCCAGAAGATGCTTATCCAAGCAACCAAATATTTACACTCTTAATGGTTTTAGCGATCTCAAAATGAAAGAGACAGGAGTCGAGAGACAGGAGTTGACAAGGAAGGCTGAGTTCTTTAGAAACGATGGCTGCTTGCTAATTTCAAACGCCCTAACCAAAAAGGAGTCGCCACCCCAAATGTTGGAGAGTTGCGACATTTTATAAAATTGACTGTCTCCTTTCCTGGAGATGCTTATTTCTTAAAACTCAAGATATTTTTCTTGAAATTAATTATCCTCTGTAGAAAATGCTTCCCTTTGTAAATAGTTAACAAAAATACTAAAAACAGTTTAACAGCTGGGACAAAGTAGAGGCCAAATATCATTGGACCAACCCCTTCCTTTTTGTACCACATCGTCTTCCTGGAGATAAGTCGAGCCAATAGTGTGTGGTGAGCGGCAACTAAGGGAGAGCGCACAGGGTTAAGTGAAATTGCTGCTGTTTGGGGGGAAAACAAAAAAAGCAGGCTTTCTCCTGCGCATAAAAATGTCACTGGCACCATTTGAACATAAGCTTGAGAACACAGACGTTGTAAATGTACTTTCCAGTAAGTCTAACTGCTAGATTCTTAAAGACAAACTACGTTTTTTATTACTATTTCTTAAATTATGAGTTTGGGCTTGCTTTTTTAATTTTTTGCTCTGAATTAGTATTAGGTATCTTTGGTAAATTGGTATCTCTATTTTAATTTTAAATACAGTATATATGCATTTAAGAAAAAAATCCTAACAAGGCAGTTGTGCTGTGTCACTATAAAGGGATTAAGGTTAGGGTTGATTTCAGTATGCCACTCTGAGCTAACGACGCCAACAGCCGGACTGGGAACACCCTCAGCCTTCTCCAACCAATGGACTTCCCACGTGCAGACATACAAATTAGGAAAACCGAATGAAGGGAATATTATGTTTTTTGACATTCAGACATTAGGTTTGTTTGTGTTTTGAATATTAAAAAGAAACCATGGCTTGAGAATACATGAGTTGTCCTCATGGCCACAAGGTCTTCTCTCTGAGGTCCAGCATGGACACTTAGTCTGAGCGTTGCAATTCAATTTTGTATGATGTGTGTGTTTTACCGAGAGCTGAAATGATACATACCACAAGCTGCTCACTAAACCAGCACATTCATTTTCAGTAGCTCTCTCTCCCCCCGCCCACACTCCCCCCCTCACCGAGTGTAAGCGTTAATAACCGTGTTACGTAGTTAAGCAATGTGCTTCTGTCTCAAAGAAAACACCGTCTTTGAGATGCGCTGTGCCTCTGGGAAGATGCACGCACACTTTTGCAGATAACAAGTGGAGAGTAATCATGAGGATGCACTGTGGTGCATGCGAGGAACTGCTGAGCATTACTGTCCTCTGTGGGCAAGATGGGCAAATGGCGATTGCTTATAGTTCAGTGGGTCAGCATCTTTAGACATTGGTTCAAGCCTGCTAGAGCAATGTATTTGCTCACAACATGTCTAAATCATTCTCATGGTGATCCCACTCTGTTTTCTTTTATCATGATTCTTATATGCTCTGAAAGATAGTCACACAGAATTGTTCTGGATGATATATTTTCCATGAATTGAGCTATTTATGTCTAGTACAGATGTAAACACTTGATATTTATATCCAATGTTAACTTCCAGTATGAAAAAAATTACCAAGAGGGATTATGAAAAAATCGAACTCACTGTGTCATCTATTGGCGTGAAGTCGCTCATATCAATACTATATACAATTAAAAGAACCCGCTCAATTGACTGCAAATGTAGCTCTTGGTAGGATGACACTCTTCCCTTGTGATTATCCTCAGCCTTCTGGGAGTTACAGCACTGCTCTGATCGGAGCTTTTGTTAAGTACGGGATCAAGCTTCCTTGTGCTACCTCCAATGGGAGCCAACACAGCAAACCTAACTAGTGTACCCCATGTGTGTCTGAGCAGAGGGGCGACACAGCCGGCGGTGTAATCCAGTACACAAAATCGAGCAAAATTAATTTGGATACCTTAAGGTCTACACAATTCTTGTAAAAGCAGTTAGACGGTTTTGTGTTGTTTGAATCTGGTGAAAAAGATGAGCATGACCTTGGCAAGTTAAAGAGGTCACGAAAGTTCAATGGACGTGTCCTGAAGCCCGCCTCTCCTTAGCAGTGTTGGTCCTCCAGCACCCAATTTGGCAAAGAACCCACAATGCTAGCTCAAGACAACTAGACCCTGGGTGCTTTCATGCCTGCCCAGTGGAATGATAGGAGCTGGAGTGGCCTGTTTGCTGGCCCCTAGTCACATAAGAGGTAAACCAGAACGCTGCACTTCTTGATCACCCCAGCTCCTCAGGTGATGCTTTTCCTTGACAGGAGCTGTCCTCAAGAGCAAACTTGCTGTAGAAGAAACATCTCAGTAAGTAGCTTCATCTTCTAAGAAACTGGATCGAAATGTCTGGTCATAGTGCTGCTGATCCCCTTCTGTACTGCAGGGGGAGTGTGGCCCCAGCACCTGCCTGGGGCGGGGCCCTGAGTGATGCCTAGCCGCCTCTCGGAGGAAGTGTTTCTGTTCTTGGGGCTGACTACACAGCCGTGTACACAGTAGTCTCTTTTAACCATGACCTGAAAATATCGAGGACAGCTATTTTCCACTATTTCTGAATTTACCCCAATCAGATTTGTGTTTTTCCATGTGTAGCAGTTTCAGCATACCCAAGACTTTGCTAATACAGTCTCTTTCATTTAATTGTAAGTAGATGAGTACATGTAATTTAAAGGTTTGTCGTAAGACATTAGGCAAAAAAAGGAAAGAAAAAATTGTGAACTCTATAGGTAGTTTTTATTAGATGCTTATGAGTAATGGGAGCTTTTTTTTTTTAAATCTCCCACAGACCTAGTTGAAAAAAAAAAATCACACACCTGCAAAATATTTATTCTTTTACCTCCTGTGAGGTTATGTGTTTGGTCTTATAAACCCAGAAGCATTCATGGAGAATAAAGAGTTTCCTAGTGGAGCTTTGTGAAATATTGCTAATGTTAAAGATAGCGCTGGTTCTTGGGTGTAGCTTATTTCTGAGAGTCAAAATTGAAATAACACACACTGTTCACATAGCTACTGTGAAAACTGTAATACAGAGATATCCTTTATTTTGACACAATTGGGCTTTTTTTTCTTTTTAAGCTGTGAATATAACCTTGCAACTGATAAGTGATGTCACACGGAGCGATTCTGGTGCCTCCCGTTTTCCCAGTGGGTGTCTTCACCATCAGAAAGGCCATGAGGTTGAGAGGCCACTTTGATAGCTCCCAGAAGCCTGCTAATCTGTTAAAAAACAAAAAAAGATGCTCATCCACTCCATGAGAACACAGGAGGCATGTACTATTTAACAGTGCCTCCCAAACAGGAGAGGACTGCGGAAAAGAATGGCATTAATTGCCTGCTAGGAGGATGCAAGTGCGGTAGCGGTCATGAGAACAAAATCAAATCCACTGTCATAGCAAAGACCTTCACTGTATACTGAACAAAACGGAGCATGTAGGCTGCCATGGAATGTCACATCGGGGCTTGCTGTCGTACTAGATTATAGGCAGTAACACTGATCATATAGTGCAAACGAGATAAGACTGCGTTTCACTGTGTGAAATGAACAGAGGTGCAAATGCTCAGTAGGATACCATTAAGACATAAAATGGCAAAAAATAAATATCAAAACTTTTATCAGTGTAAAAAAGTAACTGGGTTATTGTATAACCTAGAGTCTGGCAAAAAAGGCCTCAAAGAAGTTCTGTCTTCAGAAGTTTTACAGGTGAGGTGCCGGTGCAGGATTCCCATCACACCAGCGACTCCATGCTCTCGGCAGGGTCGGATTCCTCTGCAATCAGAACAGCACCATTCTTGTCCACTGTCATGGGACCGTTTCCGTTTTCTTTAGTGCTGACCAGGCTGAGCATTGCTTTGTAGATGAACTGGTACTGCTCCTGAAACGGGGTAAGGCGGGTTTTAGTCATTTCATCTGTGATGGCAATAGCATTTACGTACAGTGCAGCTGTGGAGACCGTACCTGAGACACAGGCATGCCAATGGAGACCGAGTTGTCTGCTTTAATGATGACCCGAATCCTTTGTTAGCTGGGGACTCATCCTTAATGTTAACATGGGTAGTGGGAAATCCATGGTTTGTAGTGAGAGATTATGGTGTTCAGTCTTGGTCCTACTGGTATTTGGGGATGGGGAGGTGGTCATGTGCACTGTGGGATGTTTTCAGCAGCATTCTCTCCCCATGGCCTCTACTTAGGACAATCTCCCACCTCCTAAAACTGCCATCCATCCCTTGTGGGGCAAGCTACCTTGGTTAAGAGCCACTGCTCTGAAGTGTGAGCCCCAGCTTCAGGTGAGGTTGTGTAGCTTTCTCAAAAAGCAAACCACTTACGATGTCTGTGAACACACCAGGCCTCATTAGGTTGATCATTTTTGCAACCTGGAAAACATCCACAGCGTTTTCGCTCTCCAGCTGCTGGGACAGAGTGGTGAGGGCACACAACATTCCCGCAGACACGGCTCCGTACCTTGGGGAGCAGAGAAACCACCATGATGTTATTTCAGATTTACTAAGGGACCGTGGAACAAGAGCAGCTG